AGGCCTACCGTTCCCAAGTTGCTAGACCCCAGTTTCTGTAAGAGGGGCTGGATGCCTCCCTCTCCTTTGCTGGACATTGTTTTAAAGCTGTGCTGTACATCTGCAAGAAGGAGCTTCCTTCCTCTTCCCAGAATCTTCAAATGAGCGTTATAGACAAGGTGGGGTGGGATTATAGCTAACAGCACTCTGGTTTCTAAAGCCAGATACACACACAAACATCTAACATCACTTTTGTAATTAGCGGGCCATATGGTTCAGTACTATCATTACATGGAACACTTGCTGGCAGGGAGAAAAGGACACTAGCAGGCATGGGAGTATTTCTTGTGACAGCTCCAAACCATGTGGTTCACTGTATAAGACATTCATATGGGCTGCGTGGAGCCCCACCCACATTAGTTGGTTGCATCTTTTTGATGGCTAGCACCACATGGTAACATTATGACTGAATAGGTCCAGAGTTTCCATTCTATCCTTCAGCTTAGCCTCCAGGAAACCTGTGAGGAGAAGCTCTGGGAGGAGGAGTGCTGCTGTGTCTCTTCAGGTCATTGCTTGCCTTTTAAAAGAGTTAAAGTAAACACACAGTTGTTTAGCAGGCTGCGTGATGAAGTTGGCACGATACAAGTTGTAAGTAATTGTGCCTTAGGTGGATCTCATTTCCCTCCTTTCAGCTCCAGAGCACTCCAGAATTAAATTAAATTAAATTAAATTGATGTTTTCAGTAGAAAATTTAACACAGACAGGAAGTAATTTTCTGCTTTGTGTTTCAAAGAGGCCCCTAGTGAGAGACAATTCAGAGATTGCATTTGGCAATAAAGAATTGGACACTAGTCTTGGAGTATAACTAGGCCAAGATCCTATTTATTTGCAGGCATCGGCTGAATCTAACAGAGTATGTGTGGGATGTAGAAGGCCCTAATTCCTACCTAGTTGTTGCCTGAGGAGCTGGCCTGGCTGTCTAAACTGAGCTTTCAATAAGGTGAAACTCTCTGTTGATTTTAGTCTTGGGCTGGATATGGGTCCCATTTTCCAGTGGTTGCCCCAAAATTGTGTCCTCCTCGTGCATATTTATTTGTTTAAATAGTTATAGACCACATTTTCATATGAAATACCACAAGGTAGTATGCAGCCTAAAAATATAAGATGACAATAGTTAGTCTAGTAACATATTGAGAGCCACAGGTTCCCTAACCCCTTTCTAAGGGATTCCCAACAGTACAAAAAAGGTTGCGCATATCACTCCAATTTTGCTCCACTGCATATATCATGGAGGAGAACCTGAGGCTCTCCAAATGTTGCCAGTCTGCAACTCCCATCAACCTGAACTGGCAGGGATAAAGTTCAAGGATGATGGGGATTGGAACATAACAACAGCTGGAGTATCAGAAGTTCCCCATCCCTGGCCTATATGAACAGAACGTGGTCATTGTACTATGACAGGGTAAGCATTAAAAGGTGGGTGATTACTAGCACAACAGGGAATGAGTTTGTTTTCTCACCTATGCTCATTATCTGCATGTTCAAATGGTTTCCAAACAACAGGATACCTGACCTTCTCCCACAGCTAATAACATGAAGGCTGCCATCTGAACCTGACCAAAGTATTTACTTTCCACATCAGAACAAATCTGGACTCAGGGCTTTTTTTTGTTTTTTTGTTTAACTCTACTAAAACATTGCTGAATGTGTGAAATTTCACCCATGCATTCATTTACCCATCAATAACTTTCTGGAATGCCCCTGTCCCAATAAAAAGGGGAGGGGGAGAGGAGAAAAACACTTTGACAGGCCTGTGAAGTAGCAAGGGTTTTGTGAGGTCAGAAAGAGCAGCAGTGCCAGGTGACTCAGCAGTTAAGTAACGAATATGGTGTGCTACATTGTGAGATTATTTATGCAAGTCTGCCCAGTTAGGAAGTGGTGTATACATTTCAATTATGTATACATCATACGATACGGTGCATTTGTAGCTGGAGCTTTTTTTGACTTGGTTGTTTGTACTTGGTTTCCTGTTTCTGCCCGGGATTTTCCCATCAAAACACACATAAGTGGAGCCTGATCCTTTGCCTGTTGGATGTATTTGGATGCTCGCATGTATTTTGAAGGGGAAGGCAATAGCTGAAACATATTACCAAGGCAGTCTTCATAACTGATGCAGTATGTATCTATTCTGCAATAAGCTATTAGAACCTGCATACTAAATTTCTCATAACATGTAGCCCTTAGGTCAGAGGTGGCTAACCCATGGCCCATGGCCTGAATCCACCCCCTCAAGAGGTTTTTTGTTGTCTTTAATCTAAACGGGATCCAAGGAGATTTACAGTATTCCCATTAAAACAGTAAAACCACTCATTAAACCATACATCTAAACCAGGAATGGGGAATTGTTTTGGCTCTGTGGGCCAGAACCTTCTCTGGTTCTACCCTATGGGCCAGCTTTGACTGGTGGGTGGGGCAAGCCACCTGTCTTTCACATGACATAGTTATGGAACCAGATGATTGGCAGGTGGGATGTCCTGTCCACCTGTCAAAATCCTTTGCACAGCTGTTCCCAGGCATCCATATTTTGGGATCTACTGTGCCTAAACAGGGCAGAACTTACTTATCTGCTCATGAGTTGATGTGCAGGGAGATCACTCATGCTTTCTGCTTAGTTCTGGAGGAACTCTCCTACACATTCAGACTAGACAAGACTGACATCCTTACACATCAGCTGATGTGTGGTGAGGTCAAAGCTGACATTACAAAGGTGGGTGTGGTCTCAGGGGAAGGTCCTTGTGGGCCAAATTAGAATGTCCCATGGACCAAAGCCCCCCCCATCTAAATGAATCAAAATCATCATAACATTAAAACTGTTAGCCCTAACGCATATAAACAGCAGTAGATAAATCAATTTCAGCCAGTCAGCTTCATTTCCCCCAAACACCTAGATGAAGAAATGGATCTGAAAGTGATGCTGAAATCTCACAAATGACAGCATTGTGTGCATCTCCAAAGGGAAGGAGTTCCATAATTTGAGAGTCTCACATTTTATCTCTGTTCTTTGATTTCTGCCAAAAAAAATGGGACCCAAACTTTACTCTGGTGGAGGCCATGTCAAGTAACAGCACTTCACAGGGATGGTAGTCAGGCTGAAGTTTCTCAATATGTTGATAAAAAGGAATTAAGAAACAATACAGATATCTGGCTATTGGACTTTTCTCCTCTGATGTCAGTGGCGGCATTCCCAAACCTAATGTCTCTTTTCTTCTCTTCCAAAGAAAAGGTGTCAACAAGTTAAAGGCAAATAAAATATTCTGATCTAAGTAGGGGAACAAATAGGGCATATACAGAAGCACTCAACAAACACGATTCAGCCAAACATTGATAAAACACAGCCTAGCTACTACGTAATACAAGTTGTAAATTGCTTAACACATGCTTTCTACATTTCCTGCTTATCTGTGGATACACATTTTAATCCAAGAATTTCTTCTTTGCCAGGTAAGCTTAGCTGGTTTGGATTGTTACCATTTCCCAATTCACATTCGTCTGAAAAAAAAAACAACAAGAGAGGAAAAACTGGCAAACCAGTAAGTCCCAGTTTCCAATGAACTGTGTTTTCTTCCAACCACAGAGGAACAAAATGGTTAAGGAACTGGATGCAAGGAAAGCAACACATGCCCATTGGTGGAGCGAGGCAGCCATCTCAGCTAATTTCATGAGAGGGCAGCAAGTTGCTAGCTATTTACTGTTGTATTTTTTATTGTCAGGAAGGAAAAGAAGAACATGTGGGATTTTCCACTTCAGGTGCCAAAATAATGTGATTAAACTTAGGTCTCTGCTACATCAAGTTCCCTAAGTGTTTTTCTGCAGGTTGTAGGCTAATCTGTGGCCCTCCACATGTTGCTGTCATTCCTGGCCAACAGGGCCAAATGTCAGGGATAGCGAGACTTATAGTCCAGCAACCTCTGGAGGGCAACAGGTTAGCCACCACATGTTTTATTTAAAACTTGAGAATTCAAAGCTTAGATTTAAATCAAAGCAAATCAAAGTGAACCACACATCTCCTAATTGCAAATACAATTCAGACTTTATGATACTGTCACAGAGACCTGATGAAAGCAAAGTAAAACACCAAAACCATACAATATACTTTAATTTCCAAAGCTTAACTAGGAATTTTGAAGGCTTAATCTGACTTTGAGCATTAAGTGTACTAGGACTTCCTCTAGGAACAATGAGTGTGCTTTTCAATGCCCCCAAATACCCAGTCATAGGTATATGTCTCATGTGTCCTTTATCAAAACATGCATGGCTGTTGTCATGTTTCAAAAACATTGTGTGCTCTGGCATGCAGATGTAAAGTTGGTTAGTCAGGTGTTTTGTGTGTGCGTTTTTGGCAGAAAGTTCAGACAGTTCCTTCTTATAGACAATAGCTGGCTTTTCATTTTTAATACCAGGGGTGGATTACACACTGCAGATTTTCAGAGTTTTGGTTTGGATAGCTCATTGCTTTATCTACCAAGAATTAAACTAACAAAGTGCAAAGGCAGTTCAAAATTAGTAATAGTCACAGGGCCACAATGTAAGTTAGGAAGGATGTTTGTTGGCGACATTATTATAATTTTTTAAATGAAATAGTTTAGCAAATATAACTGGAAGTGGAGGTGTCCATTTTTACAAGTCTGTTCACATCAAGATCTGGGTATCGAGTCCCTGCTGAACAGGTTTTTATTGCAGAGTTATATTTCTGGATCTTAATATTCAAAAGGGAGTGAACCAATGTCTGTGTGATTCCCATTTCCTTCATTTCCTTTTGAGTTTCCTGCATGAGCTTGATTGGCTTCATATGTAGTAATTGGCAGCAGCTGTCAAACCTAACCTGACTGACAGGAGGTTAGAACTGCACATAGGGTGACCAGATGTAAATTAGGAAAGGGAGCCTGTACCTTTAATGGTTGTTAAGAAGTACTAACATTTGTCATCTCTGCATGACAATCTGTATGGGGTAAAAACCCAAAGGGTCATAGCTCAGAGGTAGAGCATCTGCTTTGCATGCAGAAGGTCTCAGGTTCAGTCCTTGGCATCTCCAGGTAGGACTGGGAATGCCACCCACCCCTGGCACCAGGACTTGAAGAGCTACTTGTGGTCAGCATAGACCAGCATTTCCCAACCTTGGGCCTCCAGCTGTTTTTAGACTACAACTCCCATAATCCTCAGCTAGCAAGAGCAGTGGTCAGGGATGATGGGAATTGTAGTTCGAAAACAGCTGGAGGCCCAAGGTTGGGAAACACTGGCATAGACAGTCCTGAGCTAGATGGAACAATGGTCTGACTCAGTTTGACAGCTTCCTATGGTCCCATGAAAAGCACAGGAGCCTTGTTTGTCACTCTGTACATTTGCAATCCTAGCTTACCAAGATCAAACGGAATATGAGTACATTCAGCATGCTGAGTTTTTGGCCCACGCCCAGGGATGTGGAACAAGGAACACAGCATGCCAATGGGAACTTCAGAGTGATAGCAGCTCCAAGGACCACAACTGTCATGGACTGGCTGGGTGCAGAAGAGTGGTGGGAGGCGACAGCTGGGGAACACCCAAGGGAGTTCCCTTGGGAAAATGGCTCATAGCCTAGGGATTGGTGGTGGGATGATGATGGGTGATCCGACAGAGAAGGAGGAGGAAGAGCTGACCAGGAGGACCAAGGTTCATACACAGTAGAGGCAATAGGGTTTAGTGAACAGGAAGAGCGGAAACAGAGGATAGTTCAGACTCTGAGGCAGAAAAGGGGTCTGGAGAGGTGAGGAGACAGAGAGGCATGATCCTGAAGAAGCCTGGGAGTCTCCCCGTCTGGCTGCGCTCAGCTCTCCATCCCCTTGGTCTCCAACAACATGCAGGGAAATGGAGTGGGCTGAACAGAAATCAGTTGTGTGCAGGTTCAGTTTGAGATTGCTTGGGAAAGTCCTATGGGGGGGTGATGGGCACTGGGAAGGCGGGGCTTTCAGTCCTCATACCTGCCTCATCAGAGCAAGACCTGCAGAGAAGGGTTGCTGAGACCACTAGGCCAGGGTGCTTCAGTTTCACCTTGACTTATGGAGATCTGCTGTTTTATTCCTGACCTGTGCCTGAACTGAGCCTTGACAACAGCAGATGAGAAAGTTGGGCCTCCTCCCAGGCAGCGTTCAAGCAGGGTAGTGCTCCTGGTGGGTGAGGTACACTTTTTTCAGGACCTGGAGAACCAGGGTAGTGATGCTGCAACACCATTAGCAGGGACCATTCCAGACAGGCACCTAGCATTTGGGTGCTTAGGTGCCTACTGAATACATTTTTGTTTAAGAAGACTTTCCCTTAAGTGCAACCCAGTCATTTATGGAAGATCAGCTTTATGTCTGATAAAACTGTGTTGTTGGTTTTAGAGTTTGTATGTGCAGTTTTATTTTTTGTACAGTTTGTTGAATTGGTTTTATTGGTTTCAGAATGTGTGTCTGTGTGTTTTATTCTATTTTTATTGTGTATACTGCTTTGATGGCTTTATGCGGTGAAGCAATCTAAAATTTTGTGTCATCATAAACCACTCAAATGATCCCAATTCGATGCTTTCAGAAGACAGTCAGGTAATATCACCATTGGCATTACCACGTTTTTCAAAGTACCTGGCTTGTGACCTAAGCATACAGCAGATAATGTCGTCTTCTTCTTCTTCTTCTTCTTCTTCTTCTTCTTCTTCTTCTTCTTCTTCTTCTTCGTATACAGCAGATAACGTCATCGTCTCCTCCTTCCTCCTCCTCCTCCTCCTCCTCCTTCTTCGGGAAAAAATCTATCTTGTGTCCTGACTTTTGGAGGAATGCAGAAGCTAAGGAAGTCAATGGCCAAAGTTGATGAATGTAATGTTTCCCAAAGTTCTCCTCAAATGTAGGACTTCCAAGAAGAGTGTGACTATTCTACAGTCTTGATAGTCTTGATAGAGCAATGCTAGGATTAATTTACTGATAATGTTGGAAGTTTTGTCTTTTATTTTCAAATGCCATAGAATTAAACACTTCCCTTCCAATGGATTCACTAGAATTCATCCATTATCTGCTTTAGGGCAACTTCCCTCAATATATCAGTTTTTCTCCAAGACATTCTGTGTTAATACTGTGGGTTTCACCCTTGGTGTACTTTATGTGAAATATACTTTAATTTAATAACATGCCTGTAAATGCTTGTAAAGCAGGGGTAGATTCAAAAGTGGTCAACTGTCCATGTGCTACATTTGACAGGCAGGTGAAGCTGTAGCCACACACCTGTTAATTATCTGCCATCATATTATGTAAAATCTAGGCAGTGCTTCTGAACATATGTAAAGTGTATTTTCTTCCCTACTGAGCAGTCTCTTCCAACCCACCAATCTGGCAATCAAGGGCTTGGCTTTAAGGTTAATGCGTCTGGTGGGTTCCAGCCAAGTATGAGCCCCAAAGACATCAGCTTCCAAATGAATCATTTGTAAACAGGTGTGGGTTGCTAGGTTTCCCTGAAGTGGAAATTAGGGAAATTACAGTGTTACAAAACAGGCTTATACTTTGAGAAAACAATACTAAAAGCAGGACTAATTTTGACATGGGGCCTTGAGAGGGGTGTTGAATTGGCAGGCAGTTTATTGAATCAATCATCCAAGCTATCTATTTCGTTAGGAAATCCTTTAGAATTGATGACAAACTGCAAATATTGCAAAGTTTGTGACAAAACCACCGACGGATGTTAGCAGAACTTTTCTGTGTCATCTATGTGGCTTTACTGCAAAGCTGTCTGAGCCCTTGATAATGGCAAAGCACCCTAACCGTGTGAGATTTGACTATTTGGAGACAAGAGGGGCTTGAGGGTGTTAGTGTACAAAAGGCAGCAAGGGGAAGAGAACAGCAAAAGAAAGCATGCCACAAGTTTGCTTTTTAAAATGCAGAACACAGGGGAATTTGTTTTGCAGGACTCCCTCTGATCTCATTGTCACGAAGAGATGGAGAGGCTTTCCCACACACCTTCCCAAGTCAGCAAAAGAGCACAGTTCAGAACTAGTGGATTGTTTGCCAACATTCTTGTGTAGCTGGCATTAAACAAAAGGGCCACAGACAGTGCAAGAATTTAGAATGGGCAAGAGGACAGGCTATAGCAGCATGAGTCTCCTGCAAACAATAGTGATAGCATGATCAAAGCGGCAGACATTGTTTATCCAAAAAAGAAACCCTCAAACAAACCCAGGCGTGATTAGGGGTTCTGAATGAGGACCTAACAGAGGTTACACTGTTACACAAAGAAAGCCAAGAACACATGTAGCATATCACCAGGTATTTTCTGTCTTTCAAACACAACAGAATGCAGCTTCTAAAGTCCATGTTTCACTTTGTGCACCTTGTGTCAGAAGGTGGACCAAGAAAGCTTGACAGGGAGAAGAACATGTCTTAAACATTGGCTGTCAACATGTGTCAGGGAGCTGAGAGTTGCCAAGTCTCCTGGATACTGTCTTACTTTGCTACTTGACAACATGCTTGGTGCACCAAGGGTGAAGTGGCTCTTAATCTAGAGATTAAGGTTGTACATAAAGAATGATTGCTTGGGTACAGAACCTAGAAGTAGAAGCTGGAAATGATGATCTGTTTCCTATTGAGTTTATTCATATAGCAGTCCCCAGTCACAGCAAAGGCCCTCATCCCACCACTATAATATACCTGGTGTTCCATCTTGTGTCATCCAGGCCACTTGGATCTCATTATTGATGCCTCATTGCACTTCCTAAAGCAATAAGTGACCTGAAACACAATCATCCCTCAAGATTCGCACTTCTCTGAATTTTGCAGTGCAGTCCTCCAGCCAAGTAATGTGTATAAAAATGCATATACTAAGATAAAGCAGACATTAAAAGGCATATGCTCATAAAAATAGAGTACAAAAAGACATTACATAATGGAAATCTGCCTTGCAAAAATGTGTATATCAGGCAGAATTCTATATGTAGATGTGTATGTTAGGAGAAATTTACATTAAAATGCTGCTGAAATTTCATGAGGACTTGCTTTCTAAAACAAAGTCTGCAATCAGATATGGAAATGTGGAGAAGTGAACTTAAGAATGGAAAATGGAGAAACTGAGTGAAACAGAAACTGGTTGATTCATCCATCCCTAGCTTAAGCAAATCTACATCTCTACCCTGCCTTCATCCTTCCAAAGGAGAAAGAAAGGTGTAGCTATGGTTTAAGCATTTATTCTCAATATTTGTATCCTCCCTTCCAATAACATATCCAAGGTGACTGTTTTTTTAAGTACACAAAAAATTATCTAATGATTTCCATGTACTCCCAAATATGCACTCTGCCCTTTTTTACTTTGCTGATGGTTTTCTTCTTTCTTGTACATTCCATTTCCAGGCAGCTCAAAGCAGCATGAAAGCCCTTTTCCCATTGTTATAGGCTAGCTACCCTCCCTCTGGAAGTGCATTTGTTTCCATGGACAAGAAAGTTATTTTAAGACTTTGGAAATTAAAATGCAGCTCCCACCTTTCCTGAATGGGTATCTGAACAGTCTTCCATAATATTAATGAGAAAAAATAGCAGAGTATACATGAGATAAATGGATACATCTTTGAAATGTAGCCTCCTCCACTCCTCTTTGGCAAAGCCACTCTAACCCTCACAGAGCTTTTATCAATAGAAAATATTCAAAATATGCACAGGGGCCCATCTTATGTTGTTGATTCTCACGTAGTACTTGTCAAAAGTGTATTTCCCACATTTCAGTGTATGGCAACTCTTACAAATTTATTATTCACAATCAGAAAACATTAGGGCTGCAATCCTAGCCCTTCTTAGTTGGGAATTAACCCCACTGAATTCAATAGCAATTCCTTCTAAGTAGACATATTTAGGATTGTGTTCTAAGTCTCTCATACACTATGGCTGCTAATTTACAAGTGATCTGTGATTTTATGGAACCATTTATATATACATCTTATATACATTTACATAGAGCTGTTTATTTGTCAGAGGTCCCCATTGGTTCCACAGCATTGCCAACAATTTGGAAAAAAATCACGCTGCCTACATATCATGGTGAGGAGGATAT